CAGCTATAGTTCTGCGCAAATGGCATTCACACTTGCATTTTCGTAGGAAATGCAACTTCTCTAGTTACAAATAACTTTATTTCTGGACATTTATGATTTGATTTCTTTGTATGTATGGATCATTTGGGTTGTTACCGACATCTGGTGAAAATTTGATGTCATTAGCACCTCTAGTAATATATTTACTGAGAAAAATGTTGACGTGTTCAATACTTATTTTTACCTGCTGTACATCTAAATGTACAGTAAATATGTGTTACTGCTGGAGCGAGGCACATTTTAGATAGAAACGTTGTTTTTCTTAAGTAAATGATTACAAAATATAAGATATGAGATTAAATCTATCTGAATTATCAGACTCTTTAAGCTTAYGCAGGTACTCTTTAATTAATTAATTACAGTTTGAAACTGTGTATGTAAATTGTCTTGTTAACAAATGAAACCCACCCCTCACTCCCTGCCCCCAGGATAAAATCAGTTCTTCAAACAGATGGCTGAGCAACACAAGTCTTTCTGCAAGCTTTCAGCTCGTGGGCCGAAGGTTAGCAGGAAGATTAATGGAGTTTCTCTACCTGGTGCAGATCTACCTGATGGTTTTCCTGACAGAGTTTGACTTCCAGTTAAATGGAGCACTGCTCTGTGAGCAAACAGAGAGCTGGCTGGGAATTATTTCTCCTCATCCTTTTAGGGAAATGCGACGAAAACAGACTAAATTCTTCATGTTTCTCATTAAAACTTTGATGTTTTGAACTCAAGCCGATTAAAAATGGCAGCCGCGTCTAACTGAGCTTTTTGTCGTTGCTTCAACTTTTCTTATTTATTTATCGTTCAGCAGAATTTCTGCTTTTCAGCGTTCACACCTTGATTTTTTGTCAGCATCGGCTTGCTTTTTGTGTTTTTATTTTCCTTGTCTTTATATGTTTGAAGCATCCTTAAACCTTACAGTTTTTGTTAGTTGAAGGTCATTCTGCATGTTTCTTGTGTTCAACCTTTTTCCTGAAATAAACTGTGAAAGTTGAAAAAAATATGAAAAGAAACAAAATCAAATGAAGTAACCAAGGTTTGATTTTATTGCGAGTCTTCACTCATTCATGCATTCATTCAGGTTTATTTGACGGGGATGAATACATCACATACATGTGAATCACTACTAAAATAAGAACAGCATTT